AAAAAAAAAAAAAAAAAAAAAAAAAAAAAAAAAAAAGAGCTATTTATATTGATATTTAATCTTTAAGTTGTACTAGGTATTTTCAAAATAAACAACTAAAAAAAAGTAGAGTTATAATGCGTATTATTATTAATTTGTATGTATATATTAAAATAATTTTTAATAAAATAAAAAAATTTTGGACAAAAAAAAAAAAAAAAAATAAATGTTTACTTATACGTGAAAAAATGGTATAATAAAAATATCCTATTAAAAAAAAAAAAAAAAAAAGAAAAAGAAAAAAATATGGAAAATAGAAAAGAATTAATTTTATAATCTATGTTAACATCAAATTAGAATTTTCTAGAATAAAAGTTTTGCGTTGTTTGGAGTCTTCACCCATAAGGGAAAGAATTAAATTATTAGCTTTTATTGCATCATTCACAGTAACACGAATTAGTTTCCTTACTTGTGGGTTCATTGTAGTACTCCACAATTGATCTGCCATCATTTCTCCCAAGCCTTTGAATCTCTGAATCTCATACTTTTTAGAAAAAGTAAAAAGAGAATTATTACTAATTTGAGCTATTGTTTTACTTGTATTCAAGTCAATATTTGTAGCGTCTTTTTTTGTATTTAGTTCCATTTTTGTAAACATGGTATTTTTTTCTTCGTGTACTATATCATCTAATTTAGTTTTTTTATCTATATTTTTTTGTTCAAAAAAACTTTTATCAATATCTAATAATTTCAATAACTTGTTTAATTCTTCATCTGAGTACGTATGAATAATAAATTTTGAATTTTTTATATTAACATTAAATTGTTTCATAACAATTTCTTTTATAGATGTATCAAAAAATTTATTATAAGTAATTTTATATAATGGTGGACAGGCAACATATACATTTCCATTTTCTATTATTTCTTTTTGAAACCTATATAAAAATGTTAAAAGTAATATACGTATATGCTCTCCATCTACATCTGCATCAGTCATAATAATTATTTTACCATATCTTAATTTTGTATCTAGAAAAGGACTTTTTTTTTTATTATTAACGGAATTATTACATTCAATATTTTCATTTTTATAGGTTTTTAAATCATATTTTTTCTTCATTTCCTTTTTTTTTTTTCTCAGAAGATTATTTACTTTTACATTTTTACTATCATAATTAACACTTAAACCAATAGCTGTAATTAAGGATTTTAGTTCTGAATTTTCAAAAATTCTTTTATTATTCTTAATTTTTTCTACATTTAATATCTTTCCCTTTAAAGGGAGAATAGCTTGAATTTCTCTATTTCTTGCCTGTTTTGCACTTCCGGCAGCACTATCACCTTCTACAATAAAAATTTCATTTTTACTTATATCATCGCTAATGCAATCTACTAACTTACCCGGTAGGACTGTGGAATACGATTGATTATTTTTTGATCTTATTAAATCACGAGCTGCCTTAGCTTCTTCGTCGCTATTTTTTGCTTGCAAAGCTTTCATGTAAATTACATTTAATAAATTCGGTTCAAAATCAAAAATTTCTGATAACTTTTCAAAAATTATGCTTTCTAGTATTGGTTTTAAATAATGAGATCCTAATTTAGTTTTAGTTTGTCCTTCAAATTCTGGATTATTCATTTTAATGGATAAAATAGCTGTTAATCCTTCTCTAATATATTCTCCTGGAATGTTAACAAAATTTTTAGTTTCATTTTTTTTTATATTAAAATTTATGCATCTACTTATTGCATATTTTAGAGCATCAACATGCGTTCCACCATCTATTGTATTTACATTGTTTACAAAACTGATGATATTTTCATTATATTGATTATTAATCCATCTCATTTTTAAATCTATATATATATTTTTTTGATAGCAAGATATACATATAGTTTTATTATCTTTAAATAGATTACTTTTATTTTTTGTCAAATATTCTATATATTCGTTTAAGCCTCCTTCATGTTTTATTATTTCATAATTATAAAAATCTAAAGTGTTATAATCAGTAATTATATTTTTATTCGATGAATTAATATCAGAATCAAAATAATGATTATTATATATATTATTATTATTATTTTTAAATGAATTTAATGTACATTCATTAATAGTTTCTAAATCATCTTTACAGGTATTTATGTTTATATTTTTATCATTTTTGTTATTTAATGTTCCTCCCTTTTTATCTATTATCATTTCAGTACTTTTGTTTTCCTTTGATATATTAATATTTGTTTTATTGTAATTCCTTTCATCAAAAAAGTAAAAAGTTAACTTATTATTTAAATATGCTAACTGATGTATTCTATTTTTTATCAATTCGCTGTTATGTTTTATACTACTTTTAAAAATAGTACTATCAGGTTTATAATGTATTCGTGTACCTCTTTTATTAATAGGACAATGATTCACACTTAGCTCTTTTATTACTTTTCCTTTTTCTAATTCAATACTGTACATTTTATTATTTCTAAAAACTACAACTTTCATATAACTACTCAATGCATTAGCAACAGATAGTCCAACACCATGTAAACCAGAGGAATATTTATATTTTTGTAAATTTTCTTTTAAATTATTTTTTGGTTTTTCTTCTGTGCTTTTTTTCTTTTTATCCTTATAATTTATATTTTCTATTTCTTTATTCATTAAGTCATTTTTTTCTTCCTCATTTATTTCATCATCGAAAAACTTCGCACCTGAATGTAAAACAGTTAAAACTGTTTCTAAAGCTGATTTTTTTGTTTTCTCATGAATATCGCATGGAATTCCTCTTCCATTATCTTCTATAGTTACACTATCATCGTTGTGAATAACAATTTTAATTTCATTACATTCATAATTATTGTATTCATCAACTGAATTATCAATAATTTCAAATAATATTTGATGTAGTCCTTTTACATCAGTATTACCTATATACATACCTGGTCTTTTTCGAACAGCTTCTAACCCTTCTAAAATCACTATATCTTTTGCATCATAATTACTACAATATAACTTCCAATTATGAATGCATTTTAATTTTCTTCTTTTTATATGAAAACCTTTCAAATTATTTAAATACAAATATGTATTTTTTTTAAAACTTTTTTTATTATTACACTTTTGTGAAAATTCTAAATCATAAACAGGAAATGACTTTTTTTTAATTAATCTCTTTGCAAATAGATCGATAGTATTTAAATATTTTATCTTGTTACATTTTAAGTAATTTAAATTTCCATGAGTATATAACAATTTTCTCATAAATAGTAAGAAAAAAATAAATGATATGAAAAACGATATGTTCATTTTTTTTCAATCATTTTCATTTATTTAAAAAAAAAAAAATTAATAATAACAAAAAGAAAAAAAAAAAAAAAATACATTTTTAATAGGTAAATTTTATTTTTTGTAGCCATATTTTATTTTAATTTGTTATTTATGAAAACTAGTAATTGCTTTAGTATTTTTTTAAATATTAATATATATAAAAAAAAATATGTATGTATATATTATAGAAAAAAAAAAAAATAAATTAATAGAGTCAAAAAAAAATTATTTCATAGAATGAATGAGAAAAAAAAAAAAAGTTAAACTCTCTATGTTGAACATAATTTATATAAATATATTTTAAAGAAAAAAAAAAAAAAAATACAATTAAATATGCAATTTTTTATTCTTATTCTTAAATATATAAAAAAAAAAAAAGGAGAAATAATTATATTTATGTAACCTTTTTACTTAACATTAGACTATTCTTATCTTTTCATTTTTTCTTAAGTTTTTTTCATGTTTATCCAATTATTTAATTATAAAATATACCAAAAAATACATTAATAGTAACTTCATTTATTAAAATGTTTTAGAATGATTATTTTTTAATATTTATCAAACAGTTTTGAAACCCCTTATTAAAATTATACACCTTTCATTTGTTTCTTAAATTGGGTATAAGAACTATTTTAGATTATTCTATTTAAAATATAAAACTTATTTTCAATTTTGTTGAAATTAAAAAAAAAAAAATAAATAAAATATTATGGCGACAAATATGAGTCAGAAAAGTAATAATGTTGTTTCAATTGTTTTTTTTTTTTTTTTTTTTTTTTTTTTTAAAAAAAATTTTTNGTAAAAAAAAAAAAAATTTTTTTTTAATTTTTTTTTTTTTTTTTTTTTTTTTTTTTTCTATAAAGAATATTATTATAAAATGAAAAAATTGAACATTTTAATCTTGGATATTTAAAAATATTTTGTTTATTAGAAAATATAAAAATATCTATAGTTTCTTAATATTTTGTAATTATGAAATTTCTATATTTGTATGATTTACACATATAAATCATATATAAATATATATATCTATATATTTATTTTTATTACTAATATATTTTAATAAAATACATAACAACAAATTTATGTCTTTTATATAAAATGCAAAACATAAATAATGTAAGTACATACTTATAAATATTATTAATAATAAGTGTATATATATATATATATTTGAATAAAGGTATTTTTTCATTTATTTTCCATTATTCTTATTTTGAAATTTTAAGCTAAAGTAGTACTTATAATCCTATATAATCTTGCATTGTTATTAACATAAAAATTGTCTTTTTTTTTTTTTGTCCTTATTTTATAAATTTTCCCAAATTTTTTTTTTTTTTTTTTTTTGGTAATAAAAGAAAAATGATAATTCTTAAATTTTTATTTTTTATTCATATTTTTATTATATATGTAAATAGTATGAATCCCATAAAAAGAGGAAACGAAAATTTTCCTGTTAATAATATAACAGAAGAAACAGACAATTTTGATTCAGAATATCCTTCATTTAATGTTCATTATAATTTTGAGCCAAAAGATTGGAAAGATATTGAATTAATAAATAAAAAAAATAATGATATTTTAAATGATATAAAAAATGAAATAGTAAAAATGAAAGAAGATAAATTGAAAATAAATTATGTACTAAATATTCAAAAACAGCAACTAGAAGAACTAATTTTTTTAATTAATTATATATATTCTAATAAAGTTAAAAATATAGTAGAAATGCCTCAATATTTAAGAAGTGGCAATTTTGATAGTTATAAATTAAATAATAACAAAATAGAAGAGACTTACAATGAGATTAATAATAATATAATGAATAAATCTAAATTTATTGAAAAAAAAAACTTTTATTTTAACTTAGCAGAACAATGGATAACATAAAAAAAAAAATTCGTATAATAATTATTAAAAAATAAAAGATACATATACTGGTATGCCAACATATATATATATATATATGTTCTTAATTGTATTAAATGATATTTTATTAAAATTTACGTTTAACATATAACAAGCCAAAAAAAAAAAAAAAAAAAAAAAAAAAAAAGTTTCAATTTAATAAGAAAACTTTTTTTTTTTTTATTTTTTCGATAGCTTATAAAAATAATAATTTCATAGTATTAAAAATTTCATATTTTTGTTTCTTTTTTTCTTTTTCTTTATTTTTTTTGTTTGATAAATATAATAGAAATCATAACATACATTTATAATTTAAAAATTATTTAAATATTTTTTCGCTATTAGACAACAAAAATGTTACATATCTAATGATATAAAACTATAATGTGTTGTTAAATTGAACCAATTTATTCTTAAGTATTATCAATGATTTGTTTTTAAAATATGGATTACTTAAAAAAAAAATACAAAAAAATAATTAAAAAAATATAATATATAAATAAAAAAAATATAACAAAAAATATGAAACAATGGTAATAATAAAATTATATATCTTAATAAACAACTAATATTAATATAAAGAATCATAAAAAATTGATTGTAATACTCTTTTATGTTTTTTAAAAAACTATGTGATAAAACCATTTATCTCAAAAATAATAAAACATTATGTAAATATGTAAAATTGTAGGGATATTTCGAAATTTATGCCAATGATACAATATTTTAGATAAATTTAAATATGAAATAAAAAACTCATAAAATTAACGGGCAATGTATATCTAAAATAAATTTCATCAATAATATAATAATTTTAAAAAGAATTATATTTAACTCGTATATATATGTATAAAACTATTTGCACCACAATGACCTCATATAATATGAGGAGAGCAATTAAAAGAACATAATTAATAGTAAAACCAAATACCATTATAAAGAATATTATAAATATTATTAATATAATTAAAAAAATAAAATTAAATGATAAAATGTATTTGAAATGTACATTAGGAATATTATTATCATTATTTTCATTATTTAATAATGAAGCAATAGTCCTTAAAAGTTCATCTTGCAAATATTCCTTATTCCTATTATTATTAACTATCCAATTGAAATCATTTTCTTCTTCTATTTTTGATATTCCTGTTTTACATATTGTGCATAACAAGGGATCAGATTTATTTAAACCTAATAATTTGGATCTTAAAGATCCTAATTTTTGAGTTTTTCTCCATGTAAACCAACATTTTTTATGTACACAAGCAGTACATAATGAGCAACAAGAAAGTAAAACTGAATTTTCTAAATCCTTTTCTAAACAAATAAAGCAAAATAATTCTCTTTTATCTTCTGAATTATTATTTTTAATATATGGTTCCTTTAAGTTTACATTACCACTTAACATAAAATAGTCATTACTTTCCATTTAAAATAACATAGAAAAAAAAAAAAATATATATATATATATTAAAATTTTATTTATATATTTACATCAAAAAAAAAAAAAAAAAAAAGCCTTTTATATAAAAGTACATCCTATAATTTATTATATAATTATATATATATATTTTTTTTTTATATTTATAATTATAGTTTTTGTAAATGTCAAAAGAAAGAATTAACATAAAGTTTAAAGTAATATTCTTTTTAATATTACTTAAACAGCAATATTTAATTGGGCTTTATTATATATAAAAAAAATATTATTTTTAATATATCTTAAAAATTTTAACTTTAAAATCTTTTTAATATTTAAAAAAAATTTTATAAAATAATAAAAATTGTTTTTAATATAATTCAAGTTTAATTTAAAAAGTTTATTAATATTTTAAAAAAAGAATGTATTATATTTTATTAAAAAAAAAAAAAAAAAAGAAAAAGAATCGTTTTAATAAAAAAAAAAAATTTTTTGTTTAATAAAAATTTTAATAGGACAAAAAAAAAAAAAAATATTTTTTTTAATGTTTTTCATTATAAATTTAATAGACATTTTAATAATAGATTAAAATATCAATTGTATGAAAATAGAATATATATAAAAAAATTTCTCTTATATTCTTTTATTTCATTTTTTAAAAAATTAACATAAAACATTTTATATATCATTTTGGAAAAAAAATAGATATATATATATATATATATATATATATAGAAACATTGTATAAATATTATTTTCATACAAAAATAATTTATATAAAACTTCCACTTTCCTTCATTCATTAAACAAGATATGATAATTTTTTTGTTTTAAATGAATATATATATATTTATATATACTTGTTCTCAACTTACATAATGGCTTATAACGATTGTTTTCGATCATTGTATTATACAGCAACATAAAAAAAAAAAATAAAATATATAAAAAGATTATATATTTACATTTATATATTAACTCCTATTTTATATGTTTAATCTACATAATTCTGTTTCTTCCTTATCTTATTTTTCACAAAAGCTATTTATAAAAAATAAATACACAATATAAAATTTTAAATTTACTATGAATAATATACTATTTTTTTTTTTTTTTTTTTTTTTTGTAAGATA